GTTTGAGGCACTATAGCTCGGTTAGAGAATACATGTTTCGCATGCAGGTCTCCAGGTTCAATCCTGAGCATCAGGGAAAACAGGTCTAGAAGACATCTCCTCCAGTCCTGGAGAAGTCCTCCTGCCAGTCACAGAGGAGGCAATGTGGCTTCCCCTGGCAGCCATGAAGCCTACGAGCCCCCCACCCCTTTGTCATGTGGTGGCGAGGGTTGTTACAATTTCTCCCCCAGCCCCTCAAAAACACAAAGGTGAAAGAGGAAGGGAAAGCATAAAGGTGAAAGCATCACCTTCTCCCACTCCCTCTTTCAACTCTACGTGCATTTTCAGATCAGCAGCTGAATGGAAAGCGAAGCAACCAAAAGCGTAAGAGGTGAGCAGGAAGGATAGGTGGGAAATTGGGGGAGGGGGGTTTTCCGATATGGGCAACTGGGAGAAAAATGTAGCAACCAGAGAGAGAAAGTAGGGTGCCACAGGAGAGAAGGCAACGGGACATATCAAATACAGTAAAATGGATCCTCTTGGACATTGCGTAATTTTTCCACAGGTTCCTCACACATCCCAACCAAATCACAGCTCCCAACTGCTTCCATTGAATGAAGCATAAAAATTATGGATCCAGAGCTGTCACGAGACAAAAACATGGATCCGAATCACAGGTCCAAATGGATCTTCAGGAGGCTTACAAGGGCTTCCCTCAAAACCACCATCACATCATAGGTCACCTGTGTCCAGAGAGATGCTCTGTGGTTTGTTTATAATTCCGCTGTCATCCTATGTAAAAATAGCCTACAATTCGAACCTTGTTCGAACCTACAATTCTGAGATTAAGATTCAAGCCCTCTGTTAATCTAAAGAGAACCATCAGATGCTGCTGCACTGCATTAAAAACCAAGCCTTTCAAAACTACCAGGTTAAGAAGAGCACTCCTGTCAAAAAGAGCAAGCAGCCTTGCAGTGCTAGTTTTTCTGTGAGTCCCAAGAGCAGAGCCACACATTTTTTTAAAAAAAGAGCAAGGCCACAGAAGCCTGCAGAGTCCTTAAGATTCCAGAGGCATGTGCCTCAGAGTGACGAACTTCAGCAATATGAGGTTCCCCCGCTAATTTTCTCTGAGCAATCCAAGCCAGCCCTCTGTGCAACTACCAAGAAAAGTTGAGTCGACATTCTGGTCTGAGCCAGACAAGTGCAAACTGGATCATGCATAAAATCTGGACTCAGAGGGGACAGGGAGGGTGTGGCACATTCCCTAGCAACCAGCTGCAGAACTTTAGGATGCTTCAAGTGCTGTTTCTACGAAGCCTTGCTTAAAATGACGAGAGGTGCTCCCAAAATCCAAATTGCATGAAAAATCCAAACTGTATACAGAATTTGTTGATGACAACCAGCTGCGTGTAGAAAAGGTGTCTGTGCAGAATTCTCCACACCCCTTTAATCACACACTTTAAATGGAAGCCGAACATCAGGAAATGATAAACAATCCTTAACTGAGCAGCAATTATAACTCTAATAAATTAACGGGCTTGCCCATTAATTCCTAGGAAGCAAAGATTCCACTTAAAATAAAATAAAAAGGACAAAAACAAAACCCTATCTTTTTTTTGCTAAGGACCACCCACTAGCCAGCGCTGCCAATGCCATGGTTTGGCAACTTGGGAGCAACCCATGTCTTTGCATACCTCTCCTCCCCACTTGCTCAGACACTGCCTCTTCTCCCTTTCGGTGCAAGATAGCTATAGTTAGCATTTCATGAGCACAAGCCAGAACCCCAAATTTAAAAGGTGTATGCTGGGGTGGGGGGTTTAAAGAGAGCAAAGAGGGGCGTGCAAACCCAGAAGATGCTCCTGACTGCCAAATCATGGGTCCATAGTTCAGTGGCAGAGCATGTGCTTAACATGAGGAAGGTTTCAGGTTCAAATCCTGACATCACCAATTAACTGGACCAGGTAGCAAATGATGGGGAAAACTGTGTGGCCAGTGACCCTTAGAAACCCCCCCCTTTTTTTCTTTGTATTTACCTAAGTATGTAGTAAATAAATTCCCAGGTGATTTGTATGGATGTTCACTCACACTGAAAAACCTTCACTCCAGAGATCTGCCAAACTGAAAGCCAACCCCCTGAGCACTTGCAAGAGCTATGCTTGATGCAAAATTGCATTTCAGAGAGAAAACTCAAATCTCCCTTTGGAAACCACACAAGACCTTGTAGTGCTTCTAATTCCAGAAAGGGACACATTTCTTTTTAATCTGTTGCCCCAAGAGTCCTGTGTCATCTTAAAGACTAAAAAACACACACCAACAAATCAGAACGTGAGCTTTCTGAACGGAAAGGAGGATCTCTCCTGCAGGTAAGTTAGGCAATACATCTGCCAATCTTTAAAGGTGCTACCCTAAGGGGCTTTTTCTTCTGAAGGAAGGCGCTAGAGAATTCGCACTAAAAAAAGGAGCAAAGGATACAATGCAGACCCGCTGGTCTAAAGCAAAGGGGAACAACAACAACTACAAAAAAGTCAAGATCTTCAAAGCAATTGATAATCCCCTTTAAACATAACAATGCCTGGATAGGGGTTTCAATTGCTTCCCTCCGCCTTGTTGGTAAAGACCCCTTGAAAATCTGCAGGTGAATCCTCCTTAAAACAATTCAGCTGCCCTGTCTCAGAGGCCTTCGAATTCCCTTAGCATTACTTACCTGAATCACATTGAATAAACAGTCCCCACCCATCACCTACTTCTTTTGTCTACAGCACCTATTCAGGGAGAGCTACCTTTATTGACTGCAAGGCTGGCTAGCATGAAAAACTGGAGAGGTAGCACAGAGAACAAGATGCACTAGAATGGCTTGCATCCTGCTGCAGGCAACGAAATCTACAGGCTGTTCTGCTGAACCGATGGGGAGCAACTCAATATTCATTCCAGATCTGCAAGGTTTGGTTAAAAGGCCCCTGCCCTTCACAGGTGAGCTGCTGTTTGGCCATATATCCCACTGAGGAAGCCAAAAGCAATTTTAAAACAGCACACCAAAAAGTCACGTTTCTTTTGCATTTCACAGAAAAGCAACTGCCACGGGGTACAGCTTTTAATTGAGCCTAGAAGTGAAGAGAGCACATCACATCCGTGTCATCCTTAAGATTCACACCAAGAGAGAAGCAAGGATGCTTCAGTTTGGCTATTTCTTCTGCCAACACTTGTTGCTGCCTTAAATAATGTATGTCCTACCTGCAAAACCATTGCCCTATTTAATGCCAACAAGGAGCAGAACTGGACTGCAAGGTGGGAATGTTTCAAAACTGTTTTTGTATTAGAAAAGGTACAACCGCTCAATTTCTCCACTGAATCTATGGCTAGGTTAGGTACTCCCTTGTTATCAACAGCCTATATTTCAGGGCGATAATGTTCCGTAACATAGAAATGGGCATCCTTTGTTTCACACTACTGCTACCCAGAACGGTATTGTTTCATCCCACCGCTCATTTCCAAAAACTGGATTTAGCACCTTTTGCACAGAAATGCACAGATTTAGCACCTGTTGCAAAATGAAACACACGAGGCTCATCTCCTCAAATTCCCCCAGTTCCTTTGTGTCCTAAAAACAACCCTCTTCCCTCTCAACCCCCCACACATACACTCAACGCAACATGGAAAGAGGTGCGAGAGAAGACACATAACCTCCCTAAACCTGCATAGAGAAGATGCCAGGACCACCCTATGGTAGCAAATTAACACAACATAGCTCCCCAAAACAAGTGCAATGCTTCAACCAGGCAGTACAGTTAGCAGAATGTGATTGTGCAAGAATCCTACCAAAAAAATTTTTATTTTAATTCCTAGCTTGCGAACAGTAACAATTTGGAATTTGGTTGTGGGAAATCTACACTGAAATACTTGCTCAGCTATAGTGCTAGTTGACTTTGGATGCCACCACGATCCATCCTGTAGCCAAATTTACCTCCCTTGGCTGCTGTGAGGCAAATAGGACAGAATACTAATAATCCTCCACAAGAGGTCCAGAGGGTGGGAACACGAGAACAGGCCTTTTCTGCGGTGGCTCCCTGCATGTGGAATGCTCTTCCCAGCAAGGCTCACCTGGCCCCTCTGTTACATGTATTTAGGCGCTAGGCAAAAACATTCCTCTTTTCTGGCTTATTAAACAATCTTTGGCCTTTTAAACTGGGGGGGGGGGTGTTTTTGTTTGTCACCATGCTATGTATTTTCCTGATTTTATATCGTAACCCACCCAGTGATCCTCAGATGAAGGGTGGTATACAAATTTAATAATAAAATAAAAATGCAATGAATACAAGCGGAAAACACACTTTTCTCCTATTCAAGCCAAGTCATATTTCGTAAGTGAACAATTTCATTTAAAGAATAGGTACCTTTGTGGACAAGAGCATCCCATAAACAGTACAGGTGTCAGGGTGGCAAATTTGCTTGAGAGAGATACGTGAGAAACACTCATAAGCCATAGAACACCACCTAGTTTATATACTTATCTTCACATTATTTTTCCATGAACCCAACAGGCATCAGATTAGTGAGTCACACACACTGCACAACTTTCTTATTTGCTAAGAATCGATTCTTGAAAAGCAGTGTATATTTCTGCCCTGACATGTTTCCGTCCGCACTATTTGTTTCAAATTTAGTTTTCATTGTTCCTGCCACAACCGTGAGGACTAGCAACCACAGGCTTCCCACAAGACTTTGCTGCACACAAAAGGCCCACAGAAAATGGGATGATAAACCTACTTCTTATCACAACTGCTGGAGACTCCAGGGCAGGCCACGATTTCTGAGCCACTTTACAAATTCAGAATTCCTAGCATTAACAGGGTTTTCCCTATCAATTAATAAGATAGGGGCCATTGTCACCATTCACTGGGGAAGAGTCCCTCTTATCATTCCACTTATCTGCTATCCAAAGACGCTTCTTTGCAAGTTTGAGGGCAAAGGTATTTTAAAAGGGAGAGGGGTGGGGGAGGAGGAAAATGTAAATTAATTCCTACCCCTTTCTAAGCTTCAGGTCGCTCTTCAGAAATGCACTTTATATCTGTAATGGGGGGAAAGAGAATAAAAAGTTAAGCTGAGTGTTTTGTGTGGAAAAAATATGTGAACCAGCATCCAGAAAGTTAAAAAGTGATGCAAATATTTTTTTTAAAAAAAAACCCAAACCAACATTATTCATCTGGTAGCATGTCACATAGCTTTCCCCAACATAAAATGAATTGACACAAGCACACAAGCTTTGAGAACAGCACACAAGTTACACACCATGACTCCAGCTGTGCTGTAATAGACTTCTTTGTTTCCTACACAAATCTATCTGATGTTTGAGGCAGAAACATTGCATTCCACCTGTGTTTCAACTCACTACATCAGCCAGTACTGGGGGGTGGGGGGGCAGGAGGTACGAGAAAAAGGAATTTCTGCTGCAGAAGTTTCTATAAACACCAAGTTGGAAGCAAGTATGTTCTCAGGACATTTCCTGATAAATTGCCACCATCATCCCTAAAAAAACAAGACTTATATGGAAGCACATCACATTTTGAAAGTTACCTGTAACCAAGACTTCTATCCTACAAACCCCGCCACACTTAGCAGGGAGCAAATTCTGAGTAGGGACTTGCTTCTGAGTAATGATTATTAAGCTCATGATGTCATGTGCTGTTAACTTCTCAACTCTATGAAAGCATCCATTAAGGGAACGCAGGTCATAATTCTACAAATACGTAAGATACAGGAGTTTACATATTAAGAATGTGATATGAAAATATTTCCGACGTTGAGCACAAAAGTTTAGTCTGATTTTAAGTTTGAGATACCCAGTGTGGCAATTTAAGAGAAAAAAAACATGGTTTTTATTTTATTTACAAAAGGAAAGGAGAAAGAGGATGAATCCCTGATAGATGCACTTGGGTTAATTTTAGCATCCTTCTGTTTAGCTGCTTAGCAACACTTATCCTATGACCTTCTCCGCACCACCTACTTTCGCAAGGGATAACATGTATAACCTGAGAGAGCTAGCAATGATAGCCAGTTTTGACTAGCAGCGTAAAGCAGCCGATGCAAAAACCAGCTTTTACTACAAGCAAAAAAAAAAAGCAAAGAAAAGAAAGAAAAAGAAAAAACCAGGGAAGAGCATCTCTAATTATGACACCTTCAGTAACGGAAAAGCTGACGGGTAGATGCGGAAATGCATCTAGAGTACATAAATCACCTTGAAGAAATCCAGAAAACCCATAGGACTACAAGGGACATTTTGCAAAGGCCTGGAAGAGGGGAGGGGGAATGTTGAAACGCACTGTCTGCCCTTAGGCCAAAACAAGTTTGCTAAACCCACTACTAAGTCACAAGAGATTTTCCCACCTGAGGTTTTACTTTAGCAATCTCTAGAGACTCTCAGAAGTCCAAGCAAGGTTCATCATATGACATAAAGATGCAAGGATGGGTGTCATCTATCTGGCTATTGAACAGGAAAGAGTGAGCTCTCATGCAAATTGTTTGATTTTCAGAGCAGTTCAATAACCGGAAGTGTTCCGGTTTTTAAAACTTCGTATTAAAAACTGATTATAAGAGGGGGAGACAGTTTTATTAAATGGGCACGAATTAGCTGAAAATTTTCAGGTGGCTTTTCCCTAAGCTTGAAAGGTCTGCAAAATTTTACATTAACACAAACTTAACATACACCACGTGTATATGGCTGGGATTTCTATAAGAGGCAGACACACACACATACACAAGACATCAGTTTCTGGCCAATTGCCCTGAAACAATTAAAGCCATTAGGTGTGTCTTAAGCGAAGGATGAAAAGAAGTGTTGTGGTAACTTGATTGATTGGATGATGGAGCCATGCTGTTTCTGAGTTTCTAACACACAAAGGGGTCTATTCTCCCAGGGATGTACTTGCAACACCAGTTAATGCTAATGGGCATTATGCAGACACATCAAGAGGAGGTCTATACCCCTAAGCCTTCAAAGGGAAAATAAAACCCTAAAACAAATATGGCTTGTGTGACCATGAGTCACTGGGTCCATGTCTATCTCCCCCTGCATGCGCATATACACATATTCATCTGAGGAGAGAGAACCAAGCGAGTGAGGGCAACTTTTTTTAACCCTTCCCAAACTGCATCCAATTCCTCATGCCACCATACCCTTTTAAGGATATCATCCAATAGTTAGTGGAAGGGTCCCAATTCCATGAGTTACTGAAAAAGCAGCTATCTTAAAAGAGGCAAGCATCGGTGTGAAAAGCAGAGAGAATTAAGATTCCCCCTATCACACAGGCAATTTTTTTCCTGCCCAAAGGATGAGAAAAACTGCATTAAACACGAGCGACCTTGTCCAAAAGGTAAGACATAAAAGGCAGTCAGAAAATGTAAAGTTTCAAGCACTTTTCCCTTGCCAGGAATCAACCAACTAACTTAACTGCCTTCTCAGGCTGAAGACACCAGGTTTATGCCCAGATGATAATATATACCTGCTACAGATTTCCCCCTCTTAGCACCAAAAACTGTGAAGAAAAAGGACCAATCCCATCTCAAGAGGAAAAACGAAGGGAAGTGCAACTCTGCCATCCTTTTCAAAGTCAGACAATTAAAAGTCAAGGAAATGGCATTTTAATGAGTTATTTTCTCCCCACCACCCAAGAAAAAAAAACAACCTAACCCCCCCCCCCACAATCTCCCCAGGAAGAGTGCAGTTTGGGTATTGCTCTGAAGCCCCTTTCGAATTTGGGACTGTCCATTGGGACCTGGGCTCTTCGTTCTTTCTCCTAGTCAGGCAAAGGAGCACAAATGTGCTGAGCTAAGAGAAACCGCTCTCCCCTCCTCTTTTATAACCCATCAAGGATGCATTGCAGAGCACTGGGAGAGGAGGGAGAGACAGATAGTGTAACGAAGAGGTAAGAAGAGGGGGGGAGAGAGAGCCGGAGGGAGGGGAGGGCAGAGCCAGAGCAAACTTATCAACCCACATGACAAAGTTCAATCCACCTCCACCATCAACAAGCAGCAGTGGCGGCGGCTCCTCCTCCTCCTCCCTCTGCGAAAGTTTTCACAGCATCTCCAGCCTCCTCTCTCTCGCTGCTCTACTCTGCCCGGCAACGAGATGCCTCTCTTTGCCTGTTGCACAACTGCGAGCTAGAAAGCTGGAAGTTACTTTGGCCGAGGACGGAGGAGAGCAACCACCACGTTTTCCATGGCTGCTCTTCACCCACATACACCCACACACACAAAAAGCACCTTCTCTCTCTCCCTCGGTTAAATAAAGGCAACAGCAAGCGAGCCCAACGGCAGGGAAAAGTTTGAGCAAGGGCAGAAAAAAAGTTTGATCAAGTTGCAAAGAGCGGCGAGAAAATCTCTCTCTTTTTTTTCCAAACTCGCTCCATGTTTGCATGGGTGTGGGGAGGTCATAAAAGATCGGGTGGGTGTTTATTTTTTCCTCTCCCCCTCTTTCTTTTCCCTTTTTAAGTTCCCAAAGAAAGGAGAGACATCATCTCTTTCTTTTTGCATCCACAATCTTTTAAGGGGGGAAAACGGGGGGGGAGGGTGGCGGGGCAGGGAAATACGTCTTTCGACCAAGGGCGGAGGAGAGAGAGAAACCTTTCCCCCGCTGCTTCTTAGCAACGATTAAGGTCGCAGTTTCCTAAGAGACGAGTCCCGACTAGTCTGCATTAACACGGAGAGAGGAGAGAGGAGAAGAGGGGGGAGCAGGGAGGGGGGGCGCTTTTAGAGAAGTTTTGGATGTAGCAATTGTGGGGGGATAGAAGGGGGTGGGAGAGTTAATAGCCTCGTTGTTGTTCGTAATCCGAAAGGGTCGATTAAAAGGATTAAAAAGAGATGCGAGAAGAATCTTTTTTTAAAAAAATAACCACAGAAAAAGAGAGAGACCTGGACCAGTTAAGTTCAGAATTCGACGCAGAAGTAAAAGAAGAAAACAGAAGTAAATAGGACACGCGACACATTTTCCTAGGTTCGGACGCACGCGGGGCTCCTTCCTGTACTCGTGACGATGCGTGTGTGCGTTTCCTCCTATAATCCATTGGAAGGGGTGGGGGGGGGAGAAAGATGTCCCTCGGACCCAGTACAACGGGGGGGGGGGGAGAAAAGGAAGCGCAGATACCCTCCCGCACATACGCATACACATACCCCAAAGGACCATAAAACACGCCGAACCCTTCCAAAGTATTCAAGGAGGAAAGGAGAAGGATGACGCGCGCGCACCTTTGCTGAAGGCCAAGCGAGAGAGAGAGAGAAGCAGAACTGATCTTGTGAAGGCTCCAACCTCTCCCTCTCTCTCCCCCCCCCATCCCCGAGGGTGAAGGGGAGGGGAGGGCAAAGGGAACGAGAAGTACCAAAGTACAATTATATATATATTAAAAGGGAGCGACAGAAACGAGACACACACAGATGCTTCCAGCAACCGCCCTTGCGAACAAGGAGGGGGAAAAGTTAGCAGATGCCCAAAAGAGAGAGAGAGGAAAAAGAGACCAAAGCGTCTGGTGGGGGGTTGGGGGGGGGAAGAGTTGTACCTTGAGAGAGAGTCGACTCCACTTCAACTTAGAGGGGAGCTACTTCGCTCCCCATCATCTTCAAATCATAAAAGCTTTTCCCTCTCTCGCACAACCCCAACGCAACAGCAAAAAAATTGCTGGAGAAGGAAGAGGAGAGCGAGCCGGAGGAGGATGTAGTTGCAGGGAGCGGAGGCCAATTGGGTTAAAAGATGCTTCTCCTTCTCGCAGGCCCATCCAAATCGTTGGTTAAAAATAAACTTTGCAGTAGGAGGGGAGGGAGAGAGATGATCTGGATGAATTCCTGAGCTCAGACGGTTTAATATGGATGAGCATCAGGTCCTGCAGGCAACAGGCTGCAACGGGTGTTGCTGGTTGGTACAGTTTGCAACACGGAAGGAGCGGTGGGGGGAGCCGAGAAGGGGAGGCAGGGAGGAGCGGGGGATGGGAAAGAGAGAGAGAGAGAAAACGCTGCCCCAACTCAGCAGCAGCATCTGCTCGGCACCACTGCCAACCAACTTTTCAGAAACTTTCCTCCACGACACACACACACAAAAAGCAAACAAAAAAAAAACCCACCCGGCCACCTCTCGCTCCCTCCCCAAACGCTACATTTGCAACACCAGCAAGAGAGTCGCGCCGCTTGAAAAGGGGGGGGGGGCACTTTCTACCTTTCGCCGCAAGTGTCCTCCTTCCTCATCCCCACCCATCCATCCGCACGTTCGTAAGGAGGAAAAAGTTTCTTTGCACGCCTCGGAAGCTCCCCCGGGCAGCTTCGCTCCCAAGCTGCGCCTTTCCTCTCTCCTCCTTTCCAAGAGGCGCAGGTAGAAAGTCGCCCTCCTGGCATCAGCCTCGCCTACTTACGTCGGACTTGCTCCGGGCTGGGCTGCCTGGCTCGAGCCAGCATGGAAAGCGGCGAGGATGGTGATGAGGATGATGATGATGATGATGATGCACGGCCGGGCCCCACACCTCCCTCTCCCGACCCCCCCCCCCGCACGCCACTCCAAAAAAAAAAAGTTAAGGATAATAACCGGGAAAGGCCGGGGACGCGCAATTACCAAAGGAAAGCAAAAGTTTCCGGAGGGAGGAGGGGGGGAGAGCGAGCAGCAGCCGAATTCAAAATGGCGTTTCGATGGATGTGCAAAGTTCATCAACTCCCCCAGAACTTCCCTTCGTCCTCTCCTCCCTCCCGGAGGAGGATGAGGCGAAGCCGAGGAGCCCTCCGGCCCGGCAGCGGCGCCCGACGGTGCCCCCAGTCCCCCCACCCCGCACCGCGCGCCCCCGCTCACCCTCCGAGGCAGGCGCATCACGTGTGGCTCCGGCCAGGCTCCCGGGGACGTGTTACTCAGCCAGGCTGCTGCTGCCGCCGCCGCCGCCGCCGCCGCCTCTTGCAAGCGGTAGCATCCCTATCTCGCTCGCTCGCTCTCCTCCTCGCCTGGGAGGGGCTCTGCTCCTCGCAGCAGAGAAGTGAGTAAAAAACTTTTGTCCTTCCTCCTCCTCCCAGTTGCACGGAGCCAGCTCAGCCTCCTCCTGCTGCTCCTCGCTTAAGCAACTTTTTGCTCACCATCGGGACAAAAGTCCAACTAATCTTGCAATAAGAAATAACTCCCCCCACCCCTCTCTTTTGCTTGCTTGCTCTCCTCCTCCTCCTCCTCTCCCCCCCCCCTCCGCCACACACACACACACGCAAAGGATGGTGGAAAGAGGGAAGTTTCCAGACTAGAAAGTCTCTCGGTGGTAAAGTACCATCTGGCTGCTGCTGCTGCTCCCCTCCATTACAGGCTTGCAGTTGCAAGGAGGAAGCGCCGCCGCCTCCGCCGCTGCGCAGAGAGAGGCAGTTGAGTGTTAGGGACTGATAAAGCGCTAGGGATGCAGACGGTGCAGTATCGTCTTTGAAGGGATCGCCCGCTGCCTGTCTCGAGCTGCTTAATCCATTGTCAACCAGGTGCCGCGCATTCAGCTCTCGCTCTCTCCCGTCTAATTAACGAGAAAGGCAGAGAGAAGCCCCACGTCGTGGCTGCTGCTGCTGCTGCCGCCTTCCAGCCTGGAGCGGATGGAGCAACAAGTCCCAGCAATTAGCAATACACTTGCAACCTTAGGCATGAAAGCCCTGGGTGGCGGCGGCGGCGGCGGGCATCCCTTCCGTGTCACCAGTTGCTCCACCATCCAGACGAAGAAGGAGGCGCGGGGAGGCCTACACAAACACACGCAGCCCTCCTAGGTTTAGGTTGATTGAACACCTGTCAATTAAAACGCAGACAATGGTGGTTGTAAATAATGCTCCTGAGGCATAAGGTAGGCCCAGACTCCTGGATATTTTGAGGAGGATGCTAGTGGATTAAAAAAATAATAATCCTCTGTTAAAGAAATCTGGTACCAGCCATCTCCCCCTCCCCCCAAAAAAGCCCCTAAAGTCAGATTTCTTTAAAAAAAAATCCCTCTATCAAATTAATTTCTGGTTGATTGGGGGTTGGTTTTTACAGTAGCACAGGGTGGTCCATCGCCCCTGCTTTTTTTGTAAGCAGGATATGACCAAACACTTAATCTCCAAGCGTACAGCAGAATCCTAAGAACATTTGCTCACATGCAGAGTCCAATAGGTCTTAGTCCCAAATAAATATGCAGAGGATTGTGGCCTTAACTTGGCTTTGAGACCATTGAAAAATATGGAATTTGTTCCTGCTCGTTCTTTGCTTCCACATTTCCCCTCTTTGCTATACTTGACAGGCAAGTAAAAAGTAGCCCATCACTTTGTGCTCATCCAGAGAAAACTGTTTGGTCCTCTGAATCAAAACACTCTTGGAGGTGGCCTTGAGTTCTAGTTTTGGCATAACTATATAAACAGGTATACCGCCCCGGAAGCATTGTTATTTCTGGTTTTTAATAACATTTTTGCTATACTTTATTATTAGCTTTGAGTGCTAGGTTTAACAGCTTTCCTTGGGTCCGGATGCTGCTGAACTGCAACTTCTATCGTCCCTGACCATTGGCCATGCTGGCGGGGGCTGATAGAAGTTGTAAACCCAACAATATCTGGAGGGCCACAGGTTCCCCATCTTACAAAATGTCTGACAAAACACTGCAATCTGGAGTGTTCCTGTTCAGGTTTCCAGATGTTTCATTCCCCCACTCCTTCTGGTCCGGTTTCGGCGGAAACATTCCAGAAAATGAATTTGCTCTCGGTATATAGAATATTTCCACGGCCGATTCTGGATGCTTTAAGAGGAGCTGTGCTCAGAATATGAGGCAGGTATGAGTGGAGAGTCAATGAAAGAAGAGAAGGCTTGTTCTCTGGCAGCTCCAGTTAAGATGGGGTTTTTTTTGGAAGAAAGCTGGGACAGACTTAGGCCTCGGGGACCTTGATGTGCTGAGAGCCTGAGCGAGCAAGACAGGGCTAGCTAGATCCACAGTCTGTCTGCCTCTATATGAGGCAGCTTCCAATTTTCCATGTGCCTTCCTGACTAGTGGTTGGAACAGGAAGCAACTCACACTGAAATTCCTCCTAAAGGAAAGAATCGGGGCAGGTTGGACCAGGAAACGGAAGCAACTCGTGGAGAATTCTTTCCAAGGCGGGGGGGAGCACACCAGATTTTGGGGGGACTGCAACTCCCATCATCCATGACCATTGGCCAAATTGGCTGGGACGGATGGGAGATGGAGTGTGGAACATCTGGAGGGGACCACATTTGCTAGTTTTACACCCAAAGTGAAGGCATCTCAGGTAACAGCATGATTCTCCTACTGCCTGCCATAGTCCAGGAGCACAATAGCCTATCTCTTATTATGGATACACATTTTGCCGCTATCACACCTGCTTGCTCTCCTTCCAAACCTCCCAGCTTTTAGAAACTGCTCTTAGGGGCAGAAAGATTTCTCCGTGGGCTTCCAGTCTTTCCCTTCCTGCCTAAATTCCTTCTGGGGATGCCAGGAGGAAAAAGAGCTCAGTTTCCAGGCAGTACCAGGGAGAGGAGGAAAGGAATCTTCCTCTTGCTGTGGCATGATTCAGTGTGTATCCCGTCCTCCACCCTTCTGAGGAAACCGCATGGGGAGCTGAGCCAAGCCTGGGCTATGCCAGGGAGCGGCTATGCTGTTACCTGGGATGCCTTCGCTTTCCCCCCTTTCCCTCCTAAGGAAACTGAGCAGTGCTAGGGAAGTCTCTGGTCCCTCCTCTCTCGCAAGCAGCAGGTGCTCATCTAAGGGAAGGGAAACAGGTGAGCAAGAAGGGAAGTTGAGGCCGGGGTGTGCAAATGGAAAGAGAAATGCCTCTCTCTTTATCCACCAAGAGGAAAGTTGGAGCTGGGGGTGTTATTAGGACACCTCCTACGCCGCATAATTACATTCCAAGACGCGGCATGTTTAAGTGAAATTGCGTATATTTGAAACAACGTTGGGAAAAGTCTGAAAACACCCCACCCCATTCTGCCCCTTTTGGGGATGTTTTTGGGTCTCTTCTGGGTTCGGTGCAGTCACACACAAATCGGATGCACCTAAAACGGTTGCTGCCTTTTTCATTGATTTTAATAATTTTCTAAATTTCATTGTTTTGTTCATATAAATTCTATGACAGAAATAAACACAACTTCTGACCGGCTGCACAGAAACACAAGCTGCTAACACAGTGTCAAAGTTCCATGTAAAAAAAAAAAAGATCTCAAGAGGGCAGCTCATGTTGACAGTTCTAGTATTTAAATTATCTTCTGGGACAGCAAAGCAAAGCACTCACTTAGTTCCTGAATGCACAAGGAAGCAGCAGTTAATGGAATGTAATCCAATGGTGTGTGACAGCTTTTTCCAACCTGGTGCCCTCGACGTGTTTTGAGATACAACTCCCATTGGTCGCATCCAACACTACTGTTTGGCAAAGGTTCACATACGGTACATATCATTTAGCTGCAGGGTTGGTATCCTACAATTTCTTGCTCCCTTGAATTTTGCCCACTCTTGCAGGAACCTTGCACCCACCAAACATGACATTCAGCTGCAGGTTAGCTTATATTTGCTTCAGTATCTTACAAACAGATGCCATATACTGTATATTGTTTGGGAAATGTATAGTGTGGGGGAAATAACAGAGATTGATTCTATTATAAATTAATCAGTAAAGGGGCAGGTGATTAAAGATTAACTGCTTGGTATATACTGTCATACATTTAATTCTGCTACATAATTCTGCATCCAGTAATAGTTTCAGGATGCAATTATTATAATTATAGTGTCAGGCAAAAGGAGAGACTTTAAATAATTGCTTACGGTGAATTCAGATGATCCAAGGGATAGTTACAGTTGTCATAGGGTATCTGGTTAACTGAAGCTTTCGCAAGAGGTTAATCGGCGGTGTCATTTTGTCTTCTAAGAACAATAGCTTACAATGAGAAGGAACTTCCTTCATGATACGGTTATCCCCAATCGGGAAGGGGACCCACTAAGGGCATCTTGCCCAAGGACCTGTCAAAACCTGGAGCCATTGTTGGTTCTTCCAAAAGCTATTGGCCCAAGTGGAACCTCCATCATGTGAGGAACTATGTGCTTAAATACCGAATACCGAAAAGCAACTTCAGAGTGGTAGCCATGTTGCAACAAATCAAAGAGTCTTGTGGCACCTTCAAGATCAACACACAGGGCAAGGATGGCAATGTGGTACCCTCCCGATGTTTCTGGACTGCAACACCCATCATTCCTACCACTGGCAATGCTAGCTGGGGCTGATGGGAGTTGAGGAGTCCCCCCCCCAAAAAAATCTGGAAGCCCCCACATTGACTACCTCTGTGTCAGGGGGCCTAACCTTTTGTGGGCTAGAGACCGCTTCATTAGATGCACAATGTTTGTCTTCAGCCAGTGGGTTTACATGGGCATATAGGGGCGAAATGCAAAGAGTGGAATCAAATGTTCGCGAAATGTAAAAAGCACATTCTGTGACATTGAATTAAATGTATGATGAATAAGCACAGCCACCATCAGCAATAACAGGAACTACATTGTGATAACGCAATTACCCTAGATTTGCATTGTAGTGAACGGCTATCTCTGGCATCCTCTTGATAGTCAAACGCCACCAGGCCCAGCTGATCAGTAGTTGATTAGCCAAGCACTGCCACCATTCACAACAGAAGTAACAACTTGACAATAACACAAATTATCCTAGATTTGCATTGAAGGGAATGGCTAAGACTTAAATCACATTGACTTCGGACAATCATCGTTTTTATAAAGACACTACTTGAGCCGAAGAACTGATATCCTGATCCAGGAAGACAAATTCTGACGACTGCATGCTGTTTGACTGTAGAGCAGAGGTGGGGATCCAGTAGCCTTTCAGATGTTGTTAGATTAGAACTCCCAACGTCCTTGACTGTCTTTTGACTATAATGGCCGGGGCTGATTGGAATCCAACAACATCTGGAAGGTCAATGCTTCGCGATCTGTGCTGTTTTAGAGAGCTGAAAGTGACATGTTAGAGCTATTATTAT